GGTATCTAAAGGGAGAAGCAAGTTTGATTTGCCTTTGGTGTGGCCACGTGGATGGTCCCACGTCATTACAGGAGCTGATTGGCACTGCACATTGGAACACGTGTGCTGTGATATGATGTGTGATATGCTGTGATACTCGACACGGTGCGATCCAACCACTGGGGGCTGCCCAGCCACACTGCAGGCCTGCCAGGGACAGGCAGGCCTGGACGCCTGGGCCACAGGGCGCAGCTGGGCGGGTGGAGGGCCGGCGGCCCAGCCACGGGCTGGTTAATATCCCCCAAATGTCGGTTTTGCCTCCAAGCTTTCAAATGCAAGGGAAGTAAAGAGCACTGGGCCAAGGAGCCACTTTGGTTTTAGTGAAAGTGAAAGTAAAGCCGCTCAGTCATGTCTGACCCTTTGCGACCCCGTGGACTGTAGCCCACCAGGCTCCTCCATCCATGGGATTCTCCAGGCAAGAATACTGGACTGGGTTGCCATTTCCTTCTCCAGGGGATCTTCCCGACCCAGGGATCGAACCCAGGTCTCCCGCCTTGCAGGCAGACGCTTTAACCTCTGAGCCACCAGGGGAGCCCACTTTGGTTTTAGAGGGAAGTTTAAAGCAAGATCAAAGCGTGTCTGGGCCACTCGGCCTGGTTTACCTGTCATCGCGCCGTGACCCAGGGGAGCCAGCCGCTTGGCTTGACTCTGGAACTGGGTGGACGGCTTGCACGCCTCACTCCCTCACGTAGGCCCTGGACAACACCTGAGCGGGGTGGTTCACCGTCTGGCTGTACAAGCTCCCGGCCTGGAACTATTCGCAGCTGGGCTCACATCGCAGCTCTAACTTAGGCCTCCGACAACTGTCCCCTTCCCGCTCTTAAACCGTCTTGCCCCGTCTGTCTGCCCCACGGAGCTGGGGCCTCCGCTTAGGCGAGGCTTCCCCATCCAGCACCTACTCCCTGCTCTGGCTGTGACCCCCAGTGTGTCCTCAGGGGCCATCACATCGTCGCGTCAGCAAGTGGACAAACACACAAAGCTCCCCGGCCCCGAAATTGTGAATAAGAAAGCGTGCAGTCTGCCCTCAGGCTCACAGAACCCGCCCGGGTCTGAGAGAAAAGCCAGAGAGACGCAGCCCATCTGACGTCCCTGAGCCCCCACAGGCTTTTCCTCCTCTGGGGCCCTGGGCGGCGGCCAGCCTGCTGCTCTGGGCTGCAGCCGAGGGCCGCCCTAGGCCCGTGCCAGGTCCAGCTGGGGACTCGGCTCGTCATGGAGCCGTGTGGGAATGCCCCCTGCGCACTGGTCTCAGCCTGAGGAAACTGTTCCCTCTCATGTCCGCCCACGGGCACAGTAAGCCTTGGCACCAGGAAGCCCAGGCTCCTGGATGTGAGTCCAGAGCCCCACTCAGGAGGCTAGGAGATGGCAGAGGTGACCCGCCGACCCCGGATCCCCAGCAGTGGGTCCCCACGCTGTCCCAGCACCCACCCCCACACAGAGGCCCAGCACCTGCGCCTTTCAGGGTCTCCATGTGGGGGCCCAGCCTAGGCCGGGGGTGGGCTCCCTGCACTGCCACCTCCCAGGACTTCAAGGACAAAGCCAGCCACATGCTCCCCAAGTTGGCATCCACAGAACATGAACCGCGGACCACCGTTGTCCTGCCGTGAGCATGGGGGCGGGGGCAGGGGCGGGGTGGGCACAGCCTTCCAGCCCCCCAGGTCTGCACACACGGGCTGGGCCGGGCAGGGAAGACGAAGGCAGCAGATCCCCCGGCCCTGCCCCGCTCGGCCCCCTGGGGCAGCCAGCCAGGTTCTGGTCCAATGGCTGGAAAGCAGTGCTTGGGGGGCTCGGTGTGGATGCTTTCCTAACTGTTCCCTCATCCTCCCTGTCCCCCGGGGACACTGAGCCCTTCCAACAGCCCAGCTCCCAGGTGGATTGTCGCCACCAGCCCCATCGTCAGCCCACCCTACCTCCACTGCGGCTCCAGGCCTGGGCAGACCCCCCAGTGCCAGGCCTGGGACCGGACCGTCAGACGTGGGACCGCCGGGCAAGCTCAGGGCCTCCCCGGTGCCGAGTGGTAACCCTTGAGGATGGGCCCCAGCCCGCTGGCACCGCCGCCTGCAGCCCCCACCCCGCTTCACGGCCCCTCTCTCCTTAGCGCTGACCCCACGACGGTTGGTGGGGCCTGGACCCTCACCTGCTCGGGGGCTCATGGTCGCCAATGGGAACGTCATTCACTCATTCATTCCTGACAGTAGACAGCCCAGCCACAGAACTGAGCCCCCGAGGGCCTCTGGGTCCTGGCGCCTGGCCTGAGGGCTCCCGAGGGCTCCTGAGGGCTCCCAGGCTGCGGGGAGGCTGGCTCAGGGAGCGGCTTTTGGGGCAGCTCAGCCCAAGTGCCATCACGCCTCTGCAGCTGCTGGAGAATCTGCATCTCTTAAGGCCTCCTGGAGAAGACGAGGGAACGTCAGGGCCCCAGAAATGTGGCCATGAGCCCCGAACCGAGGCTCCCTTACCCCGAAACAGGAAGGAACAGTGGCAGCCAAAGCGCAGTCTTCACCAGGAGCCCCTCATCTTAATGGATTGGAGGCATTTTTGTAGCAATAAAAATAGATTTAATAACCAGACAGCAAAATTACTTTTTTTTTTTTTGAAGAAAAAAAAGCAAGGTAGTAAATATTCACTGATGCTCCAGTGAGCTCGCTGGGGTTTTGGAAACAGATTAGAACCTGCTCATGAGCATGGGCATGCACACACACACATGTGCACACGCGCACACACATGTGCACACCTGCGTGCCCGCACACGTACACACATGCGCGCGCACACGTACACACCAGCATCGCTCAGCAGCTCCCAGCTGTCCAGAGGCAACATGGCCCTCTTCTCATTGGAAGCAGGAGCGGGGCTCCCGCCCCCAAGGCCCTGACACAGACTCCTCACCGAGTCCCACCAGGGTAATGAACACGGGCCCCCCCGGTGGAGCTCAGAGCCCCCACTTCCAGGTGGGAGGCCGGTCCTGAGGCTGCTGCCCGGAGCTCCACGCAGAGGGGCCATCCCAGGGGCAGGCCCAGCACTCGTCTCTGTTAGGCAGACCCTTCAATGCTTAAATTGCAGGAAAATCCCGTCCAGAATCCGCGGTCAGCGACGCTGGTCTCTCATCTCCCGGGGAGGCCATGGGGCTGATCTGCCTTTCCTTCCATTTAGCAGGCCTGCTCCCAGGGCCTCCACCGTGTGGGCGAGCCTGCGGGGGGCCCAGAGCCTGCAGAGAACTGTGGGCCTGCTCAGCATCACTCCAGGCTGCAGGGACCCAGGAGGGCAGGCCCTCGCGCCCAGACACAGCCCTGAGGGGGGGCAGGACCTCTGGGGACGGGACCCAGGGTGGGCTCGTGGCAAGACTTTAGCCTGAAAACCACAGGGGGCCACGGAGGGTGCTGGAGCAGAGGACCGACCAGGATGGACGTGCCTCTGGAAGCGTGATTCCATGACTTCGTGGAGAGGCGCTGGAGGATCAGGGCTGGAGACCAGACCAATCGAGAGGCGAGTGTGCCAACCCATGTAAGACAGGGAAAGCAGGAAACAGCAGTGGGGGGGGACCCTGCAGAAGGTGCCTCCACGGCGGCTTCGTCCCCCTGGACTGCCGCCCCCGCCCCCCCCGCCCCGGGCCGGGTCTCTCCAGCCCCCTGCCTCAGTCGGGGCAAACCGCAGGCTGGCACGTGGTGCTTTTGTTTTAAGACCAGCAAGCACTGGGGCTCCTCTGGAAAGCGCTGAATAAATTTCCCTTTATTAGACACGGGCTCTGCCATCAGAGCCTTTTTCCCCTCATTAATCCTGCATAAGCTGCCACATAATGGGCCCCGCTCCCTCCCGCATTCAGGGTCCTGGGCCCCGACACGGCCCGTGCGTGCCTTTGTGCATGGACAGGGGTGGGTGGCTGCTCTGCCTGCGCAGGCCTCCACATGCCCCCATGGGGGCCGCCCGCCTGCAGGAGGTCGTGCCCTCACCTCACGCGTGGGGCAGGGGCTGAGGGCGGGCGGGGCCGGAGCAGCTGGAGGAGGGCGGGGAGGGGCTGCTTCTTTGCTGTCGGATGAGCCCTCCTGCCCCTGATGCCCCAGTTCCCCCACCCCCCCCACAGACACACATACACACACGCACACATATGCGCACACATGTGGACACACGCACACACGTGTGGACATGTGCGCGCGCACACATACACGCACACGGACCTCCACCCAGCATCTCACCTGCCTTTCCCGGAGAATCTCGCCCTCCATGGGAGGGACGATCAGGGGCCCCTCTGGAGCCTGCCCGCTGGTCCCCCGTGGCCTTTCCCCTTCCACTGGCCCTGGCCTCAGGCCACACACACCCACCTTCCACGCCGCTCGCCAGGCCCCCGGCAGCCCCCCCAACTGACCACCCGCCCAGCCTCCTTCACCGCAGCCTCGGTACATGCGCCCCCACTCCCCGTGTCTGCTCCGCACACTCACATCCACACACGCATTCGGAGCATTCATGGATGCCTACTCACACACGCACATAGTTGCTCATATGTGTACACACTCACATCCGCATACACACACACACTCACCCGGACACACCACCTTCTTTCCCCTCCTCCTCCCTCGGACCACGGGTAAGAGTTTCATCAGGGAGGCCATCCTGGGAAAGGGTGTCCCACCCTGGGGAGAGACCACCACCGCCCTTGAAGCCTAAGGGTTCCAGACGCCGCGGCCACCAAGCCCTTTCTGAAAACAAGATTCCCACAAAGAAGCCCATACAGTAACACCTGCGTGAGGCCCAGAGCCCTGGCTGTCATCAGGGGGGCGGTGGAGGGAGGGGAGTCCACTCGGGGGTACCCAAGCCCGCCCGGGCCCTGGGGCACAGCCGGGAGGCACACGTGAGGCTCACGCCGGTGCTCACGGCCGCCAGGAGGGCTTCGGTCCCACTGGTGCGAGCAGCAGGGTGGGCGTCAGCTGCCCGCCGCCTGGGGGCACGGACCCTGCTCGGTCTCTCCTGGCCTTTCAGAGAAGCGGCCGCCCGTCCCAGAAGGCTCTGTCTCTCCCCACGCGGGTGGGGGCCGAGGCTGGAGGACGCGCCAGGCTGGACTCAGAAAAGGAGTCAGGTCTGTTCTGGGAGAGCAGGGCGTCTCCCATCTCCTGGCGCCGTCGAGGGCCGCCAGCCTCCACCCACAGGGGCACGCTGTCAGTCACCGGTTGGGGGGGTAAGGGTGACATCGCAGCCCCAGGGAGGGGGCACGGATGGGGGCATGGGCTGAGCAGAGGTGCGGGGCCCCCCGCAGTCGGCGAGGGGCGGGGCTGGGCTGGCTCCATCGCTGGGCAGGGGGCACACAGCGCCGCACGCCCCAGGCGAAGACGCACCCCTCGCTGGTACCTCAGAGCTTCTTGGGTGATAAGTCACAGAGAGTAAGGTCTCCACACTGATAATCTTGAATCTGCTCTGCTTTAAAGAGAAATTCCAAGGTTTTATCTGAGGCAATGTACTGGGCAAATGAATTGACTCCCGTGCCTCCAACTCCATTAGGGAGAAACTTACTTTGAAAGAAGTCTCAGTTGTCCTTCTCTCCCCTCAGGCCACTAGAACAACCAGGAAAAGTACATGAGGTAATAGTTTTCAGACAAGGCCCAATAGCGGCCCGACACGAGGCCCCAGAAAGAAGGGAGGCGATGCAGGAGAGCCTACACATGCCCACCTGCCCACCTTACCTGATGCTGGCCACCCAGAGCACAGAGGGCTGTGACCTCAGATGTGAGCAACCTCCTGATAGCTTCACTGCTGATGTCTATGGAGGCTTTCGGGACGAAGGACCACCAGCCCCACACTAACTCGTCCAGGAGGGGGAAGAGGAGTGAGGACTTCCCGGCTAATTCTCCAGGGCCAGCAACCCCCTGATTCCAAAGCCAGCCCAGGACATGACAAGAGGAAAAAAAGAAAATGACACCTCAGCTGGTTCTACAAACATAGGCACGCACACCTTCAACAAGGAGGAGCAAACAGAAGCCCGCGGCCTGTAAAAAGGACAGCACGCCGTAAGCGGGCGGGTTTCATCCAGGAGCCCAGAGGTGGTTTTACATTGATAACCAGTCAATGCAACTGACTCCATTGACATAGGCAGACAGACAGATACATACATACATACGTCAGTGTCATTTGACTAAATCGAGCATCCACTCGTGATTGGAAACCTCAGCCAACTGGAAATGGAGGAGAACTTCCTTAACCAGATACAGGGCATCCACGGGAAACGTACAGCTGAAACCTGTGCTGAACGGTGAAGACTAAATACTTTTGCCCTGAGACCGGGAGTGAAGCGAGGGTCCCCTGTCCTCGCTTCTGCTCCACGTTGTAAAGAAGGTCACGGTCAGAGCAGCAAGGCAGGAACGAGCAACAAAATGCACACAGATCAGAAAGGAAACAGTAAGTGGTATCTGTTCACAGAGGACAAGATTGTCTAAGTGGAAAGTCCAAGGGAATAGACAAAAAGCGACCAGATCTAATTGATTTTACAAGACAGGAGGAAATAGAATCTATTTTATTTTTATATGCCAACAGCAATCAATCAGAAATTAACATTACTTTTTAAATATGAAGGGGGAAAGCATTAATTAAATACTTGGAGACAAATCTAAGATGATATATCCAAGACCTTTGTACTGAAAATGATAAAAATGTTGCTGAGAGAGCTTAAAGAAATCTAAATAGTGGAGAGAGAGACCACAGTTATGAATTGGAAAAGCCAACATTATTATCTATTTCCCCCAAATGGATCTATACAGTCAGCTCAACCCAGATCAAAATCCCAACAGGTTTTTTCACAGAAATTGACAAGTACTTTCTAGAGTTCTGCATGGAAAAGCAAAGGTCCTGGAACAGTCAAATAATTTTTATTTAAAGAAAATCAAAGAGAGAGTACTTCAGTGGTCTAGCTTTAAAACCGATTATTAAATTATAATAATCAGGACAAAGAGGCACTGATACAGACACATACAGAGAAATGGGGCAGCATAGAAACTCTAGCCTTAGTCCCAAGCACATGTACGGACACTGATTTCAGAAAAAGACACAGGAAAACAATGAGGGAAAGACAACCTTTTCAACAAGTGGCGCTGGCACCGTTAGCTGCTTCCAGGAAGGAAAGTGGGTCCCTACCTCACACCATCCACAGAAATTCAGAAGAATGGAGGATGCCCACATTTTAATAGGCTATATAAACTTCAGAAGAAAATAGAGAAGAACAGTTTCATATTTTGGGGGAAGGAAAATGTGTAAAGTAAAACATGAAACCTGGAACCCATGAAGAAGATGATTGGCATATTTTACTCTTAAAACCTTTTTATAGCTTCCGTTCAACCAAAGACACTATTTTAAAAATTCCAAAGAGAAGTAACAGCCTGTGAGAAAATATTTACAACCCCTGAAATAAATAAAGGATTGCTATTTAGAGACTACAAAGAGCCCTTAGAAGTGAATAAGAAAATTATGACGAGCCCAAGAGAAAAATAAGCAAAGATTGTAAAAAGGCAACTCACAGGGGAAAACGCAATTAGCATCACTCACAGAACTCACATGTAAGTAGTGAGATGCTATCTTCTCTCTAAACTGACAAAAATCAAAAACACCGAAGACGCCCGGTCCAGGCTCTGGTGTGGGAAGGAGGCAGGGTCAGAGCACACTTGTGCTCTGTGCGAATGTGCGGTCTAATTATGGGGCGGCTTTGCGATGTGAGCAAAAGTGTCCGTGAACAGACTGTCTGCTGGCACACAGGCCTTCCCAGGACTCTAGCCTGCGGAAGGGCACCCGCGTTCTCAAAGACAGATGACTGTATCGTGGACTTCAAGAACTCGAGGCTCGGTCTGATTTTTTGACGTGTCCTCATAGTCTCTTCCCCCTGCATAGAGGCCTCCCACTCACTGCCTAGAGAACTCCCATTCTCCCACAAAACCTCAGCTAGTTCGCTCTTCTCTGATCAACCAAACAAACTCGAGCTGCCCGGCCATGTGCCTTTTGACACGTGGTGCTCTTCTCTTCCCCTCTGTCTCTGCCTGTCACAATATATGACGATTTTATGTGCAAGACGGCCAGTGTCACCAGCCTCTCCCTCCGGGAGGAGCATCCTTCCACTCAAGCGCGTATGGTGCTGGCCGGCCACTTGCCTGGCATTCCCGGCATCCTGTGGTGTGCCTGGCATTCCTGGCATCCTGCGGCATGCCTGGCATTCAGCAGAGCCTGGCTCGGGGCACAGCCTGGTGTCCCTTCAGAAGCATCTGCCCTGAGCGCCCAGGGCTGCCCAGGGCACAGACAGGCATCTGCAGGGCCTTCCTGGGGAGCCTGAGCACCCTTAGGCCTGAGAGCCTGTGTGTACCTGCTTCTCAGTGGGCGGGCTGGCTGACGTTGGAGTGGGCTCTGACCGGCTAGCTTCTCTTCCGAGTCAGGAGCTGAGAGCCGTCCTCTGATCAGAGAGACTGCAGGCAGCAGGAAGCCGATGGAGGCGGGATTTTGGGGTTTGGAAGAGGCCCCCAGCATCTGTGATAGTGCACAGAGTGGACGGCCACCTACTGACCGAAATATAAAGGCTGCCAGAGCTGCCTTCCAGCTGAGCCACCCCCGACCCAGGGGACCTTGGACCCCTGCCCGATCCTCCCAGACCACCCAGCCTCTGCTGCAAGCCACCCCCTGCTGCCCCGTCCTGCTTCCAGGTTTGATCCCCCCGGAGGCTTGGCTGCTTGGAGAACTGATGGTGTGTTCGTGAGACAGAGGAAGGCACATGAAAGAAACCCGCCCACGGCCACGTCTCTGACCGCCATTGTAAGTAAGCCTCGGGGCCTTCTGCTTGGTTCTCCCTCCCCAGGGTTCACTGGGTTCTGCCCTTTGCTCCAGGGCCTCAAGGACATTAAGGGCCATCCTTGCCAAAGCTCCACCAGCGCAGACAAAGGGGCGGAGACGCCAGAGCTCAAGGGCCTGGGCTCCAGACAGGCCCGTCTTTTCCTAACATGCGGCAAGGGACAGTCTGCCTGAACTCCGTGTCCCTCCGGCTACTGCAGGGGGGTCAGTTCGTGGCGGGAACCACCTCCTGGCACACGGGAGGAGCCCATCATCTCCAGCAGGAAGGTCGCCTTCGTGAACACTTCCAGCGTGCTGCCATTCTGGACTAGTTTATTTGGAAGCCTGACAAATCAGAGCTGACTCTGCCAGCTCCTGTCCAAAGGGGGCTCCTGTCTCTGGGGTGGCCCTCTGCGTCCAGACCTTTGGATGAACCGGTGAAGGTGAGCCAAGACTGCCACCAGGTTGCACAGCCCGCACCCCGGTCAGGAGGGAAGAAGGGGGAAGTCCTCTCGAGACAGGTGGTTCTTCCCACAAACAGGAAAACCGCAGGTTGCGATTCCGAGAAATCAAGAGACCCCGCTGTGTTCGTTACAGCAAATCAGCCCCCAGACCCAGAGCCCCCCAGGGGCTGGGGAACAGGGATGCCCCTGTCTTCCCAACCGGGGTGCCCAGAGGCCCCCCTGCTCCTGACGTTTGAGCCAGCAGAAGACAGATCATCCCCATTGCGGGGAGGACTCTCAAGGACAAATCTAATTTCATTCTGTTTCCCACCGCGCAAATAGCCTGTCACTCTCTGCAGAAAGCAAAATAGCTGCCGTCTGCACCTCCGCCCGGAGAAGCAACACGGGGCCGCGAGCCTTCGTGCCAGGCCTGCCTGTCCACCCACTCCTCCTGCAGCCGGAGGGGCTGGAGGGCCCCCGCCGTCCCCCTGCACACACACCCGCCAGGAGCCATCTCGGGGACGCGTACCTAGCAGGAGCTCCCCGGCGGGGGTGGCGCGTGCCCGTCGGGGGAGCACGGGGGAGGCCAGGAGGGAGGGGGAAGCCTCCACACTGCGGGGGTCTTCACCAGAGGAGCCTGGTGCTGCAACAAGAAGGTTGCAGTCGCGTGTCCTCGGGGTGCCTTGGAAACCCCCTGAGGGTGGGCAGCCGAGCTCACTTGCCTCGCGGCCCTGACGTCCGGTCAGCGTCCGGCTGGCCCGCCCCCTGTGCCAGGGTCCTCGGCCTCCCGTTCACCCTCCTCTCGTGCGTCAGGTTGCACTCCCACAGGTCGGCTCTGGCCCCACGACCCCCGGTCCCGCTTCCTAGCGGCCTTTGTTCATCTCCACTTTCCGGGTGTGCCTCCGAGTCCACCGGCCTGGAGAGCGGCGGCTCAGCCACATTCCTGGGTCTGCAGGGACTCCTCCGTCCCCAAGGTCGCTCCCCCCCACCCTGCCTGCCTCCTGCCCCCTCGCTGCTCACACTCCCCCCATCCCCTCCTTCCTTCCCGCCCTCCCCCCGGCGTTCACTGCTGCCAGCTCTGTGTGGACCCGGGGCTCCCTCCCTGTCGCCCCCGTGCCCCCTGTGACCCCGTGCCCCATGCCCTCTCACCTCATCCTCCCGGCCTCCCGCCATCCCTGCTGACGCCCCTGCCTGTCTGTCCAGCCAGCCCCTTCCTGTCCCTCTGGCATCCGCGGCGGGCAGCTGTTGGTGAGTGTGGGGAGCTGAGCCGCCTCCTCCGCTCTCTGGGCTTCCCTTCTTTCTGGGGGAGCTCCCTGGGGTGCGGAAGGGCTGAGAGGGCACCCAGGGGGCCTCCAGTGACAGGGATGGCGCTTTAGCCGTCGTCAGGGGCACAGTCCACACGCACGTATGTCAGTCTCCTGAGGGGTGACCCCGGGGCTTTGCAGGGACCCCAGCGTATGGCTCACGGTCAGCATCTCAGCCCATCCCCTGAGAGGACGGCCAAGCCAGCCCGGCAGCCCCCAGCCTCTCCTGACTGGTACAGGCTCCCTCCCAAGGCAGTGGGTCCTTCCAGGTGACCTACTGCAGCCACGCTCCAGATTGAGCATCCACGGCCCGCCTCTTGTAGGTCTCCCCAACGTGTACCCAGTGCTAACCCCACACAGGCTCTCTGGGGAACGTGCCTGGGCCCCCCTGGGAGTCAGTCCCCCCAATGCTCTGGGACTGACCCCAGGCCAGGTGACCTGTCCTGCCGCCCCAGGTCACGCCCGGCTTCGGCTCCAGTGGACTAAAGCTCTGTGTCCAGGAGGCTGGGACCCCGCATGTCCGGGCAGCTGCACGTTCCCTGCAGACCTGCCAGGACTTGCCAACACCCAGCAATGAGGGGTTTCCTTTTTGGTGATGGGGCTTCTCCCCTCCAGGGCCGGGGAGGCAGCTAGAATCCAGCCAAAGGCCCCGTCACTTCTCATTTTTCTTGTTGTTGTTCAGTCGCTCAGTCATGTCCGATTCTCTGTGACCTCATGGACTGCAGCACGCCAGGCCTCCCTGTCCATCACCAACTCCCAGAGTTTGCTCAAACTCATGTCCATTTAGTCAGTGATGCCATCCAACCACCCCATCCTCTGTCGTCCCCTTCTCCTCCCGCCTTCAATCTTTCCCAGCATCAGGTTTTTCTCCAATGAGTCAGTTCTTCCATTCAGGCAGCCAAAATGCTGGAGTTTCAGCTTCAGCATCAGTCCTTCCAGTGAATATTCAGGGTTGATTTCCTTTAGGATGGACTGGTTTGATCTCCTTGCAGTCCAAGGGATTTTCAACAGTTTTCTCCAGCACCACAGTTTAAAAGCATCAATTCTCTGGCACTCAGCCTTCTTTAAGGTCCAACTCTCACTTCTCATACGTCACTTCTCATAGGCTAGAACTTAAGGGAGACCTTCTGGTTTCAGACTCATTAGCTTTTTGAAACCCATCTTCTCCTTGATTCCAGGCTCTCTGCGCTTCTGCCGGTGATCTGGACCCTGCTCTGCTCTGTCTGCCTGAGACCTGCGGGGCTGGCACCACGCCCAGGCCCAGGCCATCACGCCGGGCTCTGTGGTCCCCGGGTGGCAAGACGGTGATGGAGGGTCACCCTGAGCTTCAGAGGGAACCTGATCCCCAGAGGAGCAGGCAAGGTGCCCACTGCCCCTGCTCACCAGCGATGCCCACGAAGGGGTCCCGCTCCGCTGGTGGGACTGAAATGAGAAATCTAAGATCCAGGGCCACGCTCCCTCCAGAGGCTCCGAGGAGGGTCCTTCCCGCCTCCTCCAGCCCCCGGTGGCCCCAGGCAGCCCTAGCTTGTGGCCGTGTCCCCCCGGTCTCTGCTCATCCTCATGTGACTCACTTCTCTGTGTCCTGTGAGTCCCACCTCTCCTATGAGCACCCAACTGCTGGATGTAGGGCCCACCCTAAACCCAGGGTGATCACGACTCATCTCCAGGTCCTTAATAGAGTATTACATCTGCAAAGACCTCCTCACCAAATCAGGTCACATTCTGAGGTTCTGGGTGGACACGCATTTGGGGGCCACTACTGGGCCTACCCTAGTTGTAAAGAACCTTCCTGCAACACAGGAGACTGGGTTCAATCTCTGGGTTGGGAAAATCCCCTAGAGCAGGAAATGACAACCCACTCCAGTATTCTTTCCTGGGAAATCCCGCGGTTAGCGGAGCCTGGGGAGCTACAGTCCATGGGGTCTCAAAGGGTCGGACAGGACTGAGCGGTGTCAATCGGACGTGACTCACGCCCGCACACACCGGGCCTACAGGCTCACACCTGGGATCCCTGCAGGGCTGGGAACTGTCAGAGCCGGGATCCGTCAGCCGCAGCCCCTCGACTTTCATCAGCGGAAACTGACGACCGGGATGGGGGCGAGGGGGGCTGTCCTGGGAACCCTGCAGGCTGTGCAGGGTCTGCAGACGCCCGGGCTGAGCGGCTGTCCTGGCAGTTCTGTGCCCGCGGCCAGGAGGAGGAGTCCAGACGCTCCCCGGCGGCCAGCCCATCTTCCCGGGTAAATAAAGAGGCAGATAAACAAACACGCCTCGGGTGAGGTGACCGCGAGCTGCAGTGACAGCCCAGACAGGCTGCAGTGTGCCCCCGGGAAGGGTCTACCTTCACGAGCGAATCGCCTGGCCATCTGGAGACGTGGGCGCTGTAGGGGCGGGCATCGCACGGAGACTCGGAGTGACAGATGGCGAGGCTGAGGCTCTGGGGACCCGCCACGCTGGCCTGGGGGGTGGGCACCGACAGGTATGGACACAGGCGCCTAGACCCCGGGGGGTCCTCCAGAGAGGCGGGGGGCTGGGTTCCCCTCCTTCCCTCCTGCTCATTCCCCCCACCCCCCCCCCCGCCCCGTCCCTCCTTAGAGAGATGGTGAGGCCAGGACGGGCCCACAGGAGGCGGAGCAGCAGCTCCCAGAGCTGAGTCCCCGAGCCCCCCGAGCCCCCCGAGCCCCGAGCCCTAGCGGCCGCCTCCCCACGGCAGGCCCCTCCTGCGCCCCGCCCTGCCCACGCCCCCTAAGCTGGCCCGGGGCTGCCTGCCCCCAGCTACCCTCCCAGGAGGCTGCTAGCCTGGCAGGCCAGCTTCTGTTGTTGTGTCTCGTTTCTCCTTTTTTGACACAGACTTGGCAGAACAGGAGGAATATTAACAATGGTGGATCAGGGCACGGGACCGCGGAGAAGTTGCTGGTTTGTTTGATTTCAGGGAGTCCTGGACACAGGGCGCCCGGGATGGGAGGGGTGGGCGGCAGGAAGCCCAGGGCGCCCAGGAGGCTGAGGGCCGGGGGTCCCCTCCCTCCAGGGGCCGCGAGTCCAGGTGAGGAGCTCAGGATCTGACATGTCTGCTGCCATTGGACCAGGTTTCCTGGGGGGCCTCCCGGCCGCCCCCGGTGAGTTCTGGGGGTGGAGGAGCAGGCACGGCTGCCGTGCAGACTCTCCACCACTGGCCCGGGTCCCGGTGGGCACCATCCATCACAGCTACCAGGCCAGCGGAGTCCAGGCTCCAGGGCGGGCAGCATCCCGGCCGAGTTCAGGGTTGACGTGGATACAAAGGACATCTTTGCTGGGCTCACGCGTCCTGAATTAACTTCCTGGAGAGTCAGACGGAGCTGAGGGAAGGGGGGAGAATGAAAGGACAGAGGCGTGACAGCTCATCAGAGGCCGTCCCCAAACCCAGACCCTGTGAAAATAGACGCGAGCAGATCAGTCGCTCTGCCTCCTTTCAACCTCTCCTTTGCTCTGCACAGGGCTGGCGTCCTGGAAATTTATCAAACCGGGCTTTTAGGCAGGCGTCTGATCTGACTGTTTGGGAATTAACCCGCAGGACGCAGGACGCAGGACGCTCACAGACGCTCATTAGCACTACAGACAGCCCCAGAGTCCCGGCCTGGCGCGCTCAGCCTGCAGTGCGGGGCCGCATCCCGCCCCCCCCCCACCACATCCTAGGATGGAGTTCATGCCCACCAACTCAGGACAAAGCCTGTTGCTCCCACCTGGGACTGGAGGGGCCTCCAACAGGGGCTGGGTGGGGGCAGGGGACAGAAGTGTCTTTTGTTGGATTTCAGCTCCCAGAGCCCCCGTGGTTCCCTCCGCCACCACGTGTGTGCGAGCTAAGTTGCTCAGTCGTGTCTGACTCTTTCGCGACCCCATAGACTGTAGCCCACCAGGCTCCTCTGTCCATGGGATTTCCCAGGCAGGAATAGTGGAGTGGGCTGCCACTTCCTTCTCCATGAGATCTTCCCAACCCAGCGGTTGAACCCATGTCTCTTAGGTCTCCTGCCTTGGCAGGTGGGTTCTTTACATGAGCGCCACCTGGAAAGCCATTCACTCTGCCCTCCCCGCCTTTCCTCTGTGGGAGAAAGGTTGAGCAGGCTGCCTCCAGGAAGCAATGACCCGCCGGCATCAATAGGGTCAAAGTGGTGGACAGGTGCTCGGTGGGTACGTCAGGAGTGGACTCAGCTGAAGGAAGTTCTGTGACGCTGGACAGAGTCCCCTGCGTCCTCTGGATGGGTCTGACCCACACAGCACACCACAGTGACCCACACCACACTCTGTAGCCTCACCACAAACCACGCTTCCAGGAGACAAGCTGCCCACGGCCTCTGCGCCCACCGCCTGCATCCCGGCATTCAGCACTGTGGTCCTTGCTGCCCGAGACCCAATAGGACCCTGCCAGGGACAAAGTGCCTGGCATCGTGCAGAGACAAGGGGTAAAGGTCACTGTGGAGACCTCCTGACCCCCATGGCAGGACCCCTTGTGTCCTGAGGGCATTCGCCCTTCATCTCCATGGCGACCCATGGAAAGGGGGGCTGTAGTCACCCCTACCTGCAGACGCAGGGAGGGGGTGGTCATCACCCCTACTCTGCAGACGCGGGGACAGAGGCTCAGGGAGGCGCAGGCCTTCCCCCATGTCGTGTGACCGGGATCAGTGACTCCGGAGCCCAGTCCGGGACAGCCGAGTTCCCCCACGAAGGTGCCAGGCCTCTCGGGACACAGTCCAGGCAAGGACACCACCGCCTGGTCCTGGCCCTGCTGCAGCCCTCGGCCAGCTCCAGGGCCCCCACAGAGATGGGCGATTCTCAGGGGGGCAGGCGGCCAGCTCTCCTGGGAAGTGCGTGAAGCGCCCTCCCCCTGACAGGCCGGCCCCACCCCCTCCTCAGACAGGCCTCTTTTCCAGGAAACCTGCCAGTTCTCACACAGAGCAAATGGTGGTGCTGTAATCGGCTCACAGCACCGAGCCGAAGATCCAGGGCGCTGCCCCCAGCCTTGGCCAGAGGATTCCGGGCTGTCGGGGCAGGACCGGCCTGCACGGGGGTCCTGGGGGCCACTCTCTCATGAAGTGAGGGTCACAGCCGATGCAGCCACTCCCGGGACGCTGGACCACGCGCACCCAGGCAGCACGCGCACACACGCGACCACGCACATTCACGTGTGTGCACACACTTCTGGGCACGGACGCAGGCCCATCTAGGGGTCCTCGCTGAAACATGCATGCGTGCCCACACGTGTGCATGTACACGCCTGTGTGCTCAGGGCACACACGCCTGTCTCCACACACACTCCTTCCTGAAACCCTCCCCAGGGCCAGCTCTGGCCTCCACGAGACCAAAGGCTCTCTCAGCCCTGAGGCTGGTTTCAGTGGAAAGCTGAGAAGGCCTGCCCTCCCACAGCTGTTTTGAAGTCCAGGAAACGCTGGCGGGCCCCGGGGACACTGACTAATGCCTTCTGCTGCCCGGCCTGGGCCTGGCAGAGCCGGCCCTTTGTTCCCGGGCCCGACCATCTGGCCTCGGCGAGCGGAGGTGCTGTCTGACCCGCCTTTGATCAGCTGGTGTCTGGCAGGCCCAGTGGGGTCTTCACGAGGTCTGATCGGGGGAGCCCAACTGCCCCACAGCCCGCGCTCAGAGGAGGGGCAGCTTGTGGCTGTCAGCTCTCAGCCCAGCCCTCTGCCCTGCAGCCACGACAGCGCGGGTCCACGGCCACCCTCAGAAGCCCGCCTTGTCACAGCGCCCTTGCGGCCATCACAGCTCTGGGCCGCCCCTCCTGGGGACACTCAGCCCTGCCCAGTGCTGCAGCCCATTCCCGCGCCGTCCACACTCGGGCCGGTGTCCCTGCCTGGACCCGAACATCCACTGCCCCCCCCTCCACCCCTGCCCGCCCCCACACAGCCCCAGTCTCCCCCCGGAGACCTCCTCTCCTGCCCAGGACCTGCCCGTGGCCACCTCCAGCAGGGCTGCCTGCAACCCAGCAGGGACACGTCTGACTGTTCTCTGCCAGGTCCCCAGCCCCACGGGGCCCCACGGGCCAGCATGTGGGAGCTGGCTGGTGGGGGGTTGCTGAACCGCTCGCCGCTGACCACCTGGTGTGAGAAGAGTGTTTACATGTGTCTGAGTCGGCATCTCCAGAGACACAGTGCCAGGGGTGTGTGTACACATGTGCAGAAAGAGGTTTACTATGCAGAACTGCTCACGCGCGTGGTTATGTGAGCTGACAAGTCCCAAGACGGCAGCTGGTGTGCTGAGCTGGGACCCGGACAGGTGGCGGTGCCGCTCCGGTTGTCCGCTCGCTGAGCCCAGAAAGGGCTGTGGTCTCAGCTGCAGCCAGGGACAGGGACGGAGCGGCCATAAGTCCAGCGGTCAGGCAGGCGGAAACTCCCCCTGCATCCGGGGAGGGTCGTCCTTCCAGTTCTATTCAGGCCGTCAGCTGATCGAACGAGACCCGCCCACAGCGGGGAGGGCCCCCTGCTCTATTCAGTCACGGGTTCAAATGATAACCTCACAAAGCGCCCCACAGACACACCCAGGTTCTGTTTAAGCAGACGTCTGCGCCCGGCCCCCCGGCCCGTGAGGCTGACACTCACACCAGGTGAGGACCAGCGTGTTCAGAGACACTGACAGAAGATGATGAAACATTAAACAGCTTTAAGTCCCCAGGGCCCGCCTCTGCCCTTGGTGCTCAGGGAAGCTCTCATCTGATTACACGCTGCTGAGACCAGCCAGCCCATCACGTCCCCTGGGAGCCTGGGAGGACCGGGTTCTGAAAGCAGCTGCTTCCTTTCCGGCTCTCAAACACTCACAAACATGCTAAATTATTAAATGACTGGGTCTCACCCACCAACTACAGGCCGGCTCTGACGTGAGGTCCGGCAGACGGGCCTCACTGGGACTTGGACGGAGGCTGGAGGGGGGTTTCTCCCTGGGGCTTCAGCTTCTCACCCACAGGGAGAGGCAGCTGTCCCTCTTGAGGACACTCGTCCAACATCAGAGAGCTTCTCCCATCCCCCTCCGGCCCCGGTGCCCAGGGACGGGAAGCACCTGAGCACAGACTCGCCCCGGCCCCAGCACCCACGTGTGGGCTGGGACCAGGAGGAAGCACCTGAGCACAGACATGCCTGCGTGCACAAGCGCGCCCACCTCCCACTCCCGTGATCCACAGGAGGGCTGCCGGGGGAGGCAGCAGTTCCTGGGTGCCGGGGAGCAGGACTTGTTTCCTGGTGAGGCTGGGCCTTCAGCACACACAGGCGGGGAAGAGCTCCCACGCCAGGTGGCATCCAGGCAGAGCGGAGGTCTGGCTGTGAGTGGGAGCAGGAACCAGTCACGCCCCGTGGGTTCCCATCACCTCATGGGGAGGCTCGGGTCTCCTCTCCCTTCGCAGGACCCTCCTGCCCGTTTAATCCTCTCCCTGTGTCTTCTGCCATCTGGGCCGCCTTCTCCAGGAAGCCTCTCCAGATTGCAATCTCTCTTCCTCCCGGAAGCTGGCTCCACCCTCCACCCAGGCGCCAGCGCCCCATCCACTGTGAACCGCGGTGCGCGGCCTCCGGTCAGTTTCGGAGCGTGAGGAGCTCAGAGCCCTGCCCGGCCCCCACCCCGGCACAGCGCCCTGCACACACTCCAGCGTAAGAAATCCTTGTTGTGTGAACCACCCTGGAGGGATCCACCCCTCAGACTGGACACAATCCGCATGCTCCCGCTGACCAGGGAGAAAATAGTCTGAGGACAAAGAGTGCAGGGGCTCCTCGGAAACCCAGCCTGCTCCCGGCCAGGGCAGCATGCCTGGGCGAGGCTTCCCTCCCGAGGTGACCGTGACCTTGGAAGCTGCAGGCTCCACAATGCCTCTGGGCGGCCCTGCTCACTGCCCCGTCCACTCCCCACCCACCACGACCCCCAGGGACCACAGGAGCCTCCAGACCCACTTGACAGACATGGCAGCCAAGGTCACATGAGCCAAGGTCACACAAGCCACCCCCGGGGGGGTGAGGGTGACCAGACACCCAGACCCCGTCCGGGCCCAGCTCCTGCTCCCCCGTCCCTCTGGCTTCCGCCACCCTCGAACGCAGGCCCTGAACTTTCCCTCCACGTTTCAGCTCTCCAGCTCAGCCCTGTGCCTGGCGTGCGGGGGGTCCCCCAACTCAGCAAAACAGCTTTCATAACAGAGCGGTCAGCTGTTCAGAGCTGCACAGAGGAGACAAAAGGGCCACCCGAGGGGTCCAAGCCTGGGGTCACCAAGACCACTGACGCCCCCACAGGCTCCAGGAGCCTTGCCCGCCTGTGGTGGCGGCCCGTGAATTATTCAGGTGGTCCCTGCAGGTGGGGCTCTGCTTCCTGGTCTTAGGAGCGGCCGGTCCCTCACTCCCTCTGCACCCCCAGGGCCCAGACGCTGCCTCGTGGTGAGATCCCCCCAACCCGGTCCTCCGGGACGCAGTGATGGTTCATTAGACACAGTTGGCACGGCGCCCTCGGAGCACCAGCAATGATAACCGCGCAAGGAGACGCTGGCATAATCGGCGCTCTGGTCTAATTCAAGAGAAATGGATTTGACTTTGGGTGACAGCACACCAGTTCCAAGAGGGTTTCCAGCGCCGCGGATGTCCCTTCTGTGTGTGGCCCAACCACGGCCCACACGCCTCCAGTTTCCCCTCCGGAGTTTTCCAAAGCCAGTCAGAGTCAGGGCTGAGCGGTCAGATGGGGATTCGCGCCCTGACTAGCTGGTGGGTGGGGCTGCAACCCCCAGACCAGCCTTCCCCGGGGACAACGTCTCAGCACTGGAGCCCACGCCTGCTGGGTGCTGAAGGGGACCCTCATCCTGTCTCAGATCCTCTGGGGGTCCCGTCAGTCCAACATCCTCAGACAACATCATGGAAACAGCAACTTCCCATCCGCTCCTGTTCCCTGAGGAGCCCAACTGCCGCACCCCAGAAATAGAGATTTCCCCAGAGCACAGCCCACTTGGGGCCCTGACCCCTGCAGCCTCAGAGGAGACGCAGCAGCCGGGAAGGACTGAGTCTTTTCGAACGAGCAGTGTTTGCTTTTAGTCATTGAACTAACTGCTGCATCCTGGCGCCCCACCCCTGCGCTCCGGGGCGTGGTGGGCGCTTGAGCCTGCGTTTCTTGGTGAGCACTTGGCCTCGCCCGAAGCCAGGGAGGCCGGGGCTGCCCACGGAGGGCAGGGGCTGCAGCACCGGCCGCCTGAAGGCTGCGGCCATGGGGCAGCCCGCTCTGAGCTCCCTGGGGCCGGCAGGTCGGGGTGGGGGGGTTCTTGGGTGCCCCAGGGGAGCCAGGCTCTCTTCCGCCTAGCGGAAGCAGGCCGAGGAATCTTGAGCACACAACCAGAGGTGCGAGGAATGTCTAGCCGGGGCGGACGCAGACTCTTGCGCTCCTAACCCTCCCCCAGCCGTGGCTGTGCTGGGGGCTTGTCTTCTCTTTACTTTGAACCAGCCAAGCCAGGACAGGCTTGTTAAGACTGTCTCCACTGCAACATCCAGCCCTGAGCCAGCTCCACCTGGGGCCACAGAGCCAGGAGGAGGACCTGTCCCCCTCCCCCTTGGGGCTGCTCACCTCCCCTGACCCTTGGGATTTTCCTGGAGGGGGAGCGCATTGTCCAACGGGAGACAGGCCTTGTGGGCCAGGCAGACTGCCTGGAGGAGGAAGCCAGAACGGGGCAGTGCCCGGGAGGATTCACCCCGGGGCTCAGCAAGGACCGAGGAGAGGACTGGGGGAGCCTGACAAGGGGGCTCGGCTGCCATCAGAGCGGGTGGGCGGCAGGAGAGAAGCCCTGGGGGCAGCTGTGGGGTGGTCCACGGTCCCCAAAGGGCAGCCTCCCCAGGGGAGCCGGGGGCCCAAGCGGAAAGCAGCGGGGTCCTGATGGGGGTTCAGAGGAAGGACCAGGGACCCCAGGGACCCAGCCTTCAAGCTGGGTCAGAGGGCAAGGCGAGCCGGGCTGCCTCCAAGGACGGGTGGATCTCTGTCCCTCAGTCGTGTCCGACTCGTTGTGACCCTGTGGACGGCAGCCCACCAGGCTCCTCTGTCCACAGGATTCTCCAGGCAAGAGTACTGGACTGGGCTGCCATCTCCTTCTCCAGGGGATCTTCCCGGCCCAGGGATCGAACCCCTGTCTCCTGTGTCTCCTGCACCACAGGCAGATTCTTTACCCGCTGAGCGATCGGGAAGGACAGGTAGGACTGGGACAAAAACTGGCCTCTGAGGGTGGGGCCCATACTCCCAGACCAGGGGCAAACCTGCCCCCCACTGCCCAGAGCCCCAGCAGCCTCACCGGCCCACAGATCACCCACAACTTCAAAGGAGGCACCAAGCTGGGCCCTCCGTCGTCCATGTGTCCCCGGCCAGTTACGACAGACCCGAGGGGGGCCCAGGGGCTGTGGCCCGAGGCTGCGCGGAATGGATGTCCAGACCCGGGGTTACAGCCAGGGTGGACTCTAGCCCCAGAGGACCCTTGGCAGCGTCGGGGCGGTTGGGTCCAACGTCTGGGGGATGGTGTTCCTGACACCTCGTGGGGGGCAAGGATGCTCTAGACACCCCCGCAAGGCCCCGGCCAGCCCCGACGACAGAGATATCCGACCCCAAAATTCACACATGCAGGGCTCAGCAGCGAAGGGTTCGTGATGCCCAGAGGGCTCCTGCCAAGGCACAGCACCACCAGCAGGCAGCCCCGGGCCAGGCTCTAGACCAACGGTCCCACCAGCAGGCAGCCCCGCGCCAGGGCCTAGACCAGCCGTCCCACCAGCGGGCAGCCCCACGCCAGGCTCTAGACCAATGGTCCCACCAGCGGGCAGCCCCGCGCCAGGGCCTAGACCAGCCGTCCCACCAGCGGGCAGCCCCGCGCCAGGGCCTAGACCAGCAGTCCCACCAGCGGGCAGCCCCGCGCCAGGGTCTAGACCAATGGTCCCACCAGCGGGCAGCCCCGCGCCAGGGCCTAGACCAGCCGTCCCACCAGCAGGCAGCCCCGCGCCAGGCTCTAGACCAATGGTCCCACCAGCGGGCAGCCCCGCGCCAGGGCCTAGACCAGCTGTCCCACCAGCGGGCAGCCCCGCGCCAGGGCCTAGACCAGCCGTCCCACCAGCGGGCAGCCCCGCACCAGGGCCTAGACCAGCCGTCCCACCAGTGGGCAGCCCCGCGCCAGGGCCTAGACCAGCCGTCCCACCAGCGGGCAGCCCTGCGCCAGGGTCTAGACCAATGGTCCCACCAGCAGGCAGCCCCGCGCCAGGGCCTAGATCAGCAGTCCCACCAGCAGGCAGCCCCGCGCCAGGGCCTAGACCAGCCGTCCCACCAGCGGGCAGCCCCGCGCCAGGCTCTAGACCAACGGTCCCACCAGCGGGAAGGCCCTGGCGCAGTCCCACCAGCGGGAAGCCCCGCGCCAGGGCCTAGACCAGCAGTCCCACCAGCGGGCAGCCCCGCGCCAGGGTCTAGACCAGCCGTCCCACCAGCGGGCAGCCCCGCGCCAGGCTCTAGACCAACGGTCCCACCAGCGGGCAGCCCCGCGCCAGGGCCTAGACCAGCAGTCCCACCAGCGGGCAGCCCTGCGCCAGGGTCTAGACCAGCCGTCCCACCAGCGGGCAGCCCCGTGCCAGGGCCTAGACCAACGGTCCCACCAGCGGGCAGCCCCGTGCCAGGGCCTAGACCAGCAGTCCCACCAGCGGGCAGCCCTGCGCCAGGGCCTAGACCGACACTCCCCAGCCTTTTCGGCACACAGAGACCAATTTTGTGGAAAAGCATTTTTCCACAGACCAGGGTTGGGGGATGGTTTGGGGATGATTCAAGCCCATGACATTCATCATGCATTTTGTTTCTATTATTATCACACCAGCTCCTCCTCAGACCATCAGGCGTTAGATCCCGGAGGCGGGACCCCTGGTCTAGACAATCTCTGCAGCTCTGCTGGGATTCCCGTCCTGCACGCCTCTCCCGTGTGGAGACTGAAGCCCACGGAGAAGGGAAGGGGCCCGCCGGCCCAGGCTGACCTTCTGGAGGTGCCCTATCAGGGTTCCCGTGGGACTGAGCCCTAAGACACGCCCCGGAAATTCATGGACATCTTCTGCTATATTAACCACTGCCCCGTCCACCATGAGACGCCACACACAGGGCTCCTACACACACGTGCACACAGGCATACACATGCAAATACACCACACACATATGAACACACCGCACACACGCACGCAGGCCCACGTGCACACGTGCAAAGCACACACCGCCACACGCCCAAGCAGCCTCACTGAACGGGGTTGCTCCTATGTCCTGCCAGCCTGCCCCCCGCCGGCTGTGCAGCCTCCCGGGAGAAGCAAGTGGGATTAAGACGTCTTGATGGGATCTGAGGTGGCCCCCCCACGTGCCTGCGTCTGGCCCTGAGCTCCGGGTGCTTTAGTATTCCGTGCACTCTGGTCCCCGCTCTCCCCGGTCCTACAGCCTCGAGTCGCCTGCTTTTCATCCCCAGTATCACTGCTCACATCCGCGCTGAGCTATTGTGGCAGCCACGGTCCACCCAGGGCTGCAGTTTCTGAGGCATGAACGTGAAGGACAGCTCGGGTCTAAGCCCAGACCCGAGGCAGCCACGGGCCCCAGCACTTTGATCATGGCAGGAAAGCCTCCCGCCGCCCACTCTGCAAAAAACCCCACGCTGATTCTGCTTGATCGCAGGTAGCAATTTTGTACAAAGCCTCCTTTCTTATCCTATTTGCTCTTCAGGCATTTTCTCCCAACGTGATCACTTCACAGTGGCTGATCTCAGGCCCCGCCAGGATGCACACGGCCTGTCCCTCTGCCACAGAGCAGCCTCAGGCAGAGCCCCCGGGCCAGGGAGGGCCCGGCGCACAGGGGCCGCGGGTCCTGCCCCGACCTCTCCCCGAGAGCCGGCGGGGCCTCCTGAGTCTGACCCCGGTTTCTCCTGCTCTAGGACTGTCCTTTTCACTTTCTGCTGAGAACCACAACACTGGGCAGGTCTGGTCTGTCTGCTCATGCAGGGGCCAGCCTGGAGTTGTTCAGTCGCTCAGTCATGTCCGACTGTTTGCAACCCCATGGACTGCAGCACGCAAGGCCTCCCTGTCCATCACCAACTCCCGGAGCTTACTCAACCTCAACTCACGCCATTGAGTCGGTGATGCCATCCAACCATCTCATCCTCTGTCGTCCCCTTCTCCTCCTGCCCCCAATCCCTCCCAGCATCAGGGTCTTTTCCAGTGAGTTAGTTCTTCACATCAGGTGGCCAAAGTATTGGAACTTCAGCTTCAGCATCAGTCCTTCCAGGGAATATTCAGGGATTGTCTCCTTTAGGATCCAGCCTGGAAGCAGCTGAAGTTTTAGGAGGACGAGGAGAGCAGGAACACCTGTGGGCCCCAGAGTTCATCTTCTAAGGGACAGAGCCTAGGGCCCTGAGCGCTCAGCCCCCCAGGAGGCACCACCACCCAGTCTGTGCCCTGTCCCCGCTTCCTGCAACATCAGCTCATGGCCTTCACTCCAGGCTCGCTTGTTCCTCCTGGCTCTGAGCTCAGAAGGAAAAAACCTTCCAAATATGAATTATGTATTGAAAACCCAGGCAGAGCAATCACGGGCAATAAATAATTCCGAGCTACAGACACATTAGTTAGCTGTACAATCCACTTACAGGCTCAACCAGCCATCTCACTAATAACAGGCAGAAGCAGAGGCTTAGCTAACATGGAACTTGGGCAGGGAGGCACACTCGCAGGGCTGGCGGGTCCCTGGCCAGACCGCTGCTGCGTGTGGTCCCTGGGCTGCCAGCTGGTCAGAACCTCTGGCTCAGAGCAACGGGGCCTGGGGGGCACTCTGCAGCGTCCACACTCAGGAGGAAGGACGATCACAGGAACTCTGCTCCCTTGAGCAGCAAGGACATCTGGTTTCTGAAACTGGGCTAGCCTCACGTCATATGAGGAGCAATCTTTTACGAGCCACAGAGGATTCTATGCATTTCTAGAACTTCCTTAATGAGCAGATCAGAACTCTATTGAAATTAGCACTCAAGTGATTTACAGTTCAGTGGACATCTTTCTGGGTCATTTTCCAAACTCCATCCTTTTTTAAATTGAGGTATAGACATGAACTTGGGCAAACTCTGGGAGATAGTGAGGGACAGGGAGGCCTGGCGTGTTGCAGTCCATGGGGTCGCAAAGAGTCGGACATGACTGAGCAACTGAATAACAATAGTCGGTTTACGGTGTTGTGTTACTTTCTGCTGCACAGAAAAGTGACTCAGTTATATATATACATATATATTCTTTTCATGTTCTTTTCCAGCATGGTTTAATCACAGGACATTGAATCTAGTTCCCTGTGGTACAGTGAAAGAAAGAAAGAAGGTGAAGTCGTTCAGTCGTGTCCGACTCTTTGCGACCCCAAGGACTGTAGCCTACCAGGCTCCTCTGTCCATGGATTGTCCAGGCAAGGGTACTGGGGCAGGTTGCCATTTCAGCAGGACCCTGTTTTCTATCCATCCTACAGATAATAGTTCACATCTGCTGGCCTCAACCTCCCATCCAGACTTCCCAACCCCTCCCCCTGGGCAACCACATGTCTCTCCGTTGCGTCCACGCGTCTGTTTCTGCTTTGTACATACGTTCACTTGGGTCCTACGTTAGAGTCTGCATCTAAGTGATGTCACATGATATTTGCAGTTGCAGTTAAGAGCGTCTGATATATTCTTCAGTGCCTCTCAGGCTGTTCTGCTTCCTAAGCTATCCTTGCGATCATCTCGGCAAACCTGTGCTCACACAGACTTTGCAATGTCTTGAAAAATTATTTGCTAAGCAGAGGTCCACCCTGACCCAGAGCCTACTTAAACAATCCCAGACCAGCAGGTGTGTCCTTGCTGGTGATGAACGTCGGCTGGTGGCTGTGAGCAGCCTGGCTCCTTGCTGTGGCTCAAGGCTGGCTGGGCAGCAGGGGGTGGAACGTCCACCACGGTCAGCCGTGCTGTCTCCTGGGTGCGTGCTCATCCTAATTCCTGCCACTTTCCTCGTGTTGGTCCTCGGCTGTTTCACATTGTCTCATTGGGTCTCAGTTGCCACGTGACCATGAAATGAGCAGGCTTGGGGTCCCGGGGCTAGTGAGAGGAAGCTGCCCAGGTCTGCCTGACCTTCAGCCTTAACTGATCCATGTCCCATCACGCTGCAGTGAGTCAGCAGGGTGGGCATCAACCACCCCCACACCCCTCCCCACCAAGCGTCCAGGTCTGAGAACCTAGCTGCGGGGGAGGATGCATCATCTGTCCTAGGGCAGGTCCCAGTGAATGGAAGGGCAGGGCGTGGCCTCAGTCCTGACCCTGAGCGGGCAGCGGTCCACATCCCCACCCAGCGTGCCCCAAGAAGACAGACTGGGCTGGAGCCTTTCTCAGAGCCAAGCCCACTCCTGCAGGAAGCGCCTCCATCTCCCGGAACGCTCCGCCCTCCGCTCCTCTGCCCAGACCCCAGTGAGAACAAGGGCAAAGAGCCCTGGTCACGACGCAACAGCCGCGTGCAGACCCGGGCTCCCTCCACCCCAGTTCCAGGATTCATCTGGCCGACCCTCCATCCCTGAGGGGACAGGCCATGCTGCACTTGCCCGAAAAGGAGCCCAGCCCTGGTGCCCTCAGCTCCACCACCTCGGCGGGCTGGGGGACCACGCCCAGGTCAGAAGGCTCCGAAAACCAGCATCTTTTCCCCTTAAGTGAAGTTCATGCTGGGCCTGTCCAAGCTCCTCTTGGCATTTTAATGCTTTAAAAGCTTCAGCTTGCTCTCTGGGTCAATTTTCTTTCAACAAAATATTAAAATGAAGCTCTGAAAGCCTTCACCATGGTCTGAGTGCCAGACCAGGCCATCGGAGCCCAGCGTTGCATCATGCAGGTGTAAATATTTAAAGAGGTGCCAGGGAGCAGAGAGCTCTGGGGAAGGGCGGGCCTGGGGCCGGGGTGGCCGTGGGTGCCGGGAAGGACGTCTGCGGGCCTGCCTGATGAGAGCACCTGGCTGGGAGACGCCTGACCCTCAGGTCGCTCCTGGCAACAGCCCCGAGGTCCAGCGCGGGGGCGGATAGCCACACCCGTCCTGCTGCCACCCTGCTGGTCCTCTCAGGCCCGGGAGGAGGGGCCGTGATGGGCCCAGCTTTGCAGGGGGCGCGGGGGGACTGAGGCACACGGAGACGGAGCTTCCTGCTGCGTGCAGTCCGACGTCTGCCAGGACACCCTGATTTCATTTTTCCTTCTGTGCTTTGGCCTCAGTCTCAGAACTCAGACCCATTGGTCCAAACTCCTCGTGTCACTGAAGGGCAACTGGGGCCCAGACTTGCCCAGAGAGGCGAGGCAGCAGGAAAAACCAAGTCCGACTTTGTCTTTCAGGCATTCATTCATTCGTGCAATTGTCTATTTCACGGTTCAAAGTGGATGACCAAATCAACAAGCGAGTGAGTGAAATCTGCTCAGTGCCAAGTGCAGTGCTGGACACCAGGGCCCGGAGGTGGGGGTGGCATGGGTCCCCATCCAAAGAGTGGAATGGGGAGCATAGACTCCCAGGAACCCGGCCAGGGGCAGACGCGGGGCAGGCGCTGGAGGCGTGATGACGGGTCTGTCCACCTCTGAGCACAGCCGTCTGGGGGAGGGTTGGGGATGGAGCCGCGGGGGTGGTCAACAGGCCGGTGGCCCACACCTGAACGTCCTAGGGGTGGGTCCTTGCAACGCATGCAGGAGCACCTGGCTTCCCGAGAAGATACGCCCCGTGCTGTCAACCACCCCACACAAGTGGGCGTGCGTTCGGGCCGGCCAGGGGCTCCCCTCGCCCCCGGCCATGTCAGGGCGCCCTCGGCGGGGAGCATCCCTCTGTCCTCTTCCCTCTGCTGGGGGCTGTCCCTCCACTCTGCCCCCCCTAACATTCCCACCTGCATCCCTTTGCTGGAAGCAGGCTGGCTCTGTGAAGAGAGAGAACCGGGAGACCTGGGCATGGTCTTGGCCGATGATTCCTTCCTCTGATTTCGGTCTTCTCGTCTGCACCGTGGGGACAGTAGCAAAGACTCCCCCTCCGGAGCGTGCCCGGCTCACGGTGAAGCCAGACGGATGTTTCTCTGTCCCCCCCTTCGTGCGTCTCTGCTCTGTTCAGGGCCAGGGCCGCCACCCTCTGACACGGGCAACCTGATGAAAGGACGACCAGGGAAAGGAAGGGTCCCGAAGCCCGGGCAGAACAGCACGCTGGGCTCAGGAGGGCCTCGGGGTGCTCTCTGGGAGGGGTCCCCAGGTCAATCGTTCCATGGGGGTCGCACTTGGTGAGCGGTGAAGCCACTGCAGCCTCCCGGCCAGGCTGGGCAAGGGGCGGAAGCCCCCCTTCTGCGTCCCCGGCCCCTGAAGGCAGCCAGGCTGTCCTGCCGGCTCCAGGCTCAGCCCCGCAGCAGCAGGCGCTCCAGGACGTCCCCGAGTGAACTGCAAAGCAGGAGGTTACATCCACGGGGAAACTACCCAGGGAAGTGGGCACAGGTGGGTAGAATACGTGCACCGACTATTTGTCTTGCAATCACAAGTTTCTTGACATCTTGAAACTTCTTTCACCTTCTGTGAGCCTGGGGCAAGGAATCCAGGGGCTTAACCATCGGGGAGGAGCTGTCGGCAGCAGTGGGATTTCAGCAGAGACTTGGGGCGTCTGCAGAGAGATCTTCTGGAGCGGGGTTGGGGTGCTGCACGGGGAAGCCTTCACGCCCGCAGGTGTGTAAACCGGCTGCACGGGCTCACTGCCCAGATGAACAAAAAGCATGAAGTCTGATGGCTCCAAATCCTGGGCTTCCGCGGACGTTGAAAACTGTCACTGTTCCCCAGTCTCGCCCTGCAACCCCCCACCTCTTGGCTGGACTCTGTCAGCTGAAAGCACGTCTCAGTATGGCTGCTACCCAGCCATCCCCCACCTCACCCCCACGCTTTTCTTCTGCAAAATCAGATTCACGGAGCAGCTTAGGACACTGGTTTCTAGAATCTCAGCCCTCTGGAGCAGTGGGCACAGCACAGCAGGACCTGCTGCAGCTGACCCGCGTTTCAGGGTCAGCAGAGGTCACTGCCCCACCCCGATTAGCGTATGAAGCGCTAGTTATCAGCCTCATAAAGTGTCTTCATCAACAACCCAAGATTCGCTGGAAATGAGCCAAAAGGCCTGGAGCCCTCTGGGAGACAGAGCCTCAGACAGCCCAGGCGGCCTCGAGGGGCCAGCGTGTAGGATATCGTCAGCAAGGCCACCAGCCAGCCTGGCCCAAGCGGCCCTTTCCCTGGTTCCCTGTGTGCTGATGCCTAGGGAGCCTGGACCCAGGACGGCCAGGACAAGCCCGGGCCCACCTAACATGACCCTGACAGCGATGCTCAGGCCAAGGCCACCAGTACGCCCACTTTACAGACGAGGGGGGCCAAGACTCAGAGAGATCCAGAGACTCACCTGAAGTCACACCTAGCAGGCAAGATGGGGCCAGACCCGCCCCAAGAGCCCTGTGTCTCTAATTGCAGCCTCCCGGACTTGGTCTTCTCCTGAGTCTATTGACGTGTGACTAAACCATCTAACGGAACTTTGTAGACCTACTCCCTAGACGGATGCCCTCAGCAGGACCCCCTGCCCTGCTGGAAATGGTCTAGATCTCCACCATTCAACACGGTGGCCTCCCGTGGCTGTTGAGCCTTGAGCTGTGTGATGAGGAGGTGAATTTCCAAATGCGGTGAATTCTGCTTCATTTGGCTGCGAGGAGATGCATGAGGCTGCCGTGGACATTGCCACTCTGGATGACACCCCGCAGGTTACCCTCCAAGATTCCTCCTTGGAGATTCCTCCAAGTCCAAAGTCGTGGCCCCAGGTCCCCAGGGAGGCCCCTGAGGAAGCTGCCAGGCCCCATGGCTCCTGGAAGGTCCCACGCTAAGTCTGGCTGCGACAGGCCCATCTCCCACCCATGGGAGGCTCTGTGGGGCCCCCAAAGTCCACAGTGCCAGCAGCCAGCTCTGGCCAGGGTCCCGGGGTGCTGCCTGGCCTCCCTCACATGTCCCCAGAGCTCAGCATCACCCAAGGGGTAGCTGCTCACTCCAGAAATCAGAACAGCCACAGCAGCAATAATAACTTTCTGAAAGCCTGGCGCACGGGCGGCCGTGGGCAGGCCCGGGCAGGCCGTGCCGAGGAACGGCCCCCATCTCCTGCTAAACAGCCCTCTGGTGCATGGAGACTTCCAGGAAGATTAAGCTGAAAACTGGCTTTTCCGGAGTAGGCAGCCGGAGGAGAGGAGGTTGCCATGGAAACAGCATCTGGCCCATTTAGGGGAGTTTCAGAAGCAGGAAACAAATAAGGGAAACACAACACAGCCCACCGTGTGTGCTCGGCCCAAGGACGGGGAGGGCGCGTTCTAAAACACGCCGCTTAGGGTTGGCTTCAGCCCCCAGGGCACCGAGCCCCGCGCTGACCGTGTTGGCGCCAAAAGGCAACACTGGGCGTTTGCATCTGGACAGCGAGCGGGGAGGGGAGACTGACCCTTCCGTGGCTGCCACTTTCCGGGAGTCCAGCGCCTCCATAGCCTCCGGCCGGGACGGGGTGCAGGGCACTCTCAGCCCCTAGCCCACTGCGGCCTCGAGAGAGAAGGAGGCACACAGGGGCCCACTCGCCCAACGGAGCAGCCGGGCAGGAGGACCCACGGCGAGTCGCCATGTGTCCGTCAGACCAGAAATACTCATCTATTCAGTACGTGTCGGTACACGTCTGCACACACGTACATGAGCTGTTATTCACTCAAAAACACTGGGGACCAAGCCCCGCAGCTGGGGAGGTGCAGGCTGCGTGAGCTCGGAAGAGGCCTCGCCAGGCCCTGGGCAGGAGGAGAGATACCAGGGAGGCTTCCTGGAGGCGGCGGCATCCAAGCCAAGTTGTGCAGAATGTCCCAGCCACGGGGAGAAGGCAGACGACCCAAGGGCCCCTGAGCGAGGACCTGAGTGGGGTGCAGCCTGGCCTGAGCAGGCGACAGGGATAACACGGCTGAGGGCTGGGCAGGACTGTCCACGGGCCCCCCCGAGCAGGTGGGAGTTTGGGGTCCAGCTCTTCCCAGCCAGAGCCCCATGGTCCCCAAGAAGGTGCTCAGGTGTGAGAACTGTCCCCAAGGGCTGGGTTGGAGCCGAGACAGAGGTGGATGCAAGGCCAGGTCCTCAGACGGCCTCTGAAGGAGGCAGGGTTGGGGTACTGGCCTTGGCCAATGAAGGCCAGCGAGCTGGAGGCTGGAGGCCCATGGGGGACCCAAGGGAGCCAGAGGCTGGGTGTGCTCCCCGGAAGAAAGGTCAGGAGACAGCCTGACACACAGACACAAGGGGACGCTGAAAGGTGTCCCGGGGTCTCTGGGAGGCGGGGCTGGCCGGGGAGCTGAGAGTCAGGCCCCTGGAGGAGTCCTGGAGAAAGATCAGCGCCTCGCAAGCCTCTTCCAGCTGCACAATTTCCAGGCAAATGAAGACTTTCAAAATGGCATTTATTTCCAAATCGAACTTCGTACGTTGCAGGAAGGGAGACCCCTTCCAGGGCCCAAGAGGAGGCTCTTGTCTAACACTCAGAAATGAGTTGTCCTAGAAAATACACATGATGACATAGCAAGGAGCGCCCGGGCGGAGAGCAGGAAGGTGAGGGGCCGGGAGCACTGCTCTGACACGGGGCTCGGAGGCTCAAGCTTTCCGGTGACGGGTCGGTTTCCCGGCTGTCTCAGGCTCCCTCCTGGCGGCGCAGGCCTCACTCGGCCGACATGGATTCTGGGAGGACGTGTGAACTCGCGTCTCCTATCTCCTTTGGACCTTCCCCGAGTTCTTCCACTTGGTCACTTCATTCCTCACCAGGACCTCCTGTTGTAAGATAACTCGGCAAGTGGTCACTCTGGTGCCTGGCCAGGGCGGGCGGTTTCAGTCAGTATTGCCTGACAGATGTTCATCTCAGAACACCGTGGGAACATACTGGGAAACCCCCAGAAGTATCAACGCCCAGAGTCCCACCCTCGGGAGGAGGGACAGGCCGTGCCTCTGTGCCGGCCTTTCCAGCTGGCCCCACACTGGCTCAGAGCTGGCCGTCTGCATGGCGTTCTCAGAGATGCAGTCCATCGCCTGGGCCCCGCAGGCCCCTCACCGCTGTCGGGATGCGCAGGCGGAGGACGGCGCCTCTTTCTCCTCGGGAGTCCTCTCCTGCGTCCGGCCCTCACTCCAGGGTGAAGACGCTGCTCTTGGGCTGACTTTCTCAGGTGTTGCCCCACGGGGTCCTGTGGTCACATCTCTCATCTTGAACAATCGGGTCAAAGGACAGCCAGTCCTTTAGAGCTCTCGGCATGTAAGGACATGCTCATCGAATGGCTGTCCCCAAGGCCAGCACATCTGAGCAGCACCCACCTTCCCACGACACTCAGGTTCAGTTCAGTTCAGAAGCTCATTCGTGTCCGACTCTTTGCGACTCCATGGACTGCAGCATGCCAGGCCTCCCTGTCCATCACCAACTCCTGGAGTTCACTCAAACTCATGTCCATTCAGTTGGTGATGCCATCCAGCCATCTCATCCTCTGTCGTCCCCTTCTCCCACCTTCCATCTTTCTCAGCTTCCGGGTGCTTTCAAATGAGTCAGCTCTTCGCATCAGGTGGCCAAAAAATTGGAGTTTCAGCTTCAACATCAGTCTGATGAATATTCAGTCTGATCTCCTTTAGGATGCACTGGTTGGATCTCCTTGCAGTCCAAGGAACTCTCAAGAGTCTTCTCCAACACCACAGTTCAAAAGCATCAATTCTTTGGCGCTCAGCTTTCTTTATAGTCCAACTCTCACATCCATACATGACTACTGGAAAAACCATAGCCTTGAATAGATGGAACTTTGTTGGCAAAGTAATGTCTCTGCTTTTTAATATGCTGTCTAGGTTGGTCATAGCTTTTCTTCCAAGGAGTAAGCGTCTTTTCATTTCATGGCTGCAGTCACCATCTGCAGTGATTTTGGAGCCCCGAAAAATAAAATCTGACACTTTCCACTGTTTCCCCATCTATTTGCCATGAAGTGATGGGACTGGATGCCATGATCTTAGTTTTCTGAATGTTGAGCTTTAAGCCAACTTTTTCACTCTCCTCTTTCACTTTCATCAAGAGGCTCTTTAGTTCTTCTTCACTTTCTGCCTTAAGGGTGGTGTCATCTGCATATCTGAGGTTATTGATATTTCTCCCGGCAATCTTGATTCCCACTTGTGCTTCCTCCAGCCCAGCGTTTCTCATGATGTACTCTGCATATAAGTTAAATAAGCAGGGTGACAATATACAGCCTTGACGTACTCCTTTTCCTATTTGGAACCAGTCTGTTGCTTCCTGACCTGCATACAGGTTTCTCAAGTGGCAGGTCAGGTGGTCTGGTATTCCCATCTCCTTCAGAATTTTCCACAGTTTATTGTGATCCACAGAGTCAAAGGCTTTGGCATAGTCAATAAAGCAGAAATAGATGCTTTTCTGAAACTCTCTTGCTTTTTCAATGATCCAGCGGATATTGGCAATTTGATCTCTGGTTCCTCTGCCTTTTCTAAAAGCAGTTTGAACATCTGTAAGTTCACAGTTTACGTATTGCTGAAGCTTTGGCTTGGAGAATTTTGAGCATTACTTTACTAGCATGTGAGATGAGTGCAGTTGTGCGGTAGTTTGAGCTTTCTTTGGCATTGCCTTTCTTTGGGATTGGAATGAAAACTGACCTTTTCCAGTCCTGTGGCCACTGCTGAGTTTTCCAAGTTCGCTGGCATATTGAGTGCAGGACTTTCACAGCGTCATCTTTTAGGATTTGAAATAGCTCAGCTGGCATTGCATCACCTCCACTAACATTGTTTCTAGTGATGCTTCCTCAAGCCCAATTGACTCCAGGATGTCTGGTTCTGGGTGAGTGGTCATCTGGCCGGCTTGCTGTTTGGAAGAAGCATGTTCTCTGTCACTAAACCCGTGTCGCATGCTCTGTCATTAAACCCACGTCCCTGGCTTTTCTGTGGCCAACACTAGTTGTAGTTTCTTCTGATCCACATGGACCAAGACCAATAAGGTGAAATGAAAAATCATTTTTGAAAGCCCATAAATTCTAAGTTCCAACATTTTATTTTTAGCTTCAGCAGACAAAATGGTCCTGCCAGACCGCTCTGGGCTTCCCATTCATGCCCACGCTTCCTGGCAGCTCATGGGCCAGCTGGGTGGGGCTGGCGGACCATGGTCACGACCATGACCTGTGCCCAAGAACAACAACTCCCCTCAAGGTCAGCAGGGAAGGGCATGGCATTCACATTTGTTCTGTTCTGTCTTGGCCACACTGTGCAACCTATAGGATCTCAGCTCCCCAACCGGGGCCTGAACGCACACTCCTTGCAATGCAAATGCAGATTCTTACCCACTGGCCCACTGGGAACTCCTGGCATTCCATTTTAAAGAAGAGTGAATCGAGGTAGCTCGTCTGGTAAAGAATCCACCCGCAATGCAGGAGACCCTAGTTCGATTCCTGGGTCGGGAAGGTCCCCTGGAGAAGGGAAAGGCTACCCTCTCCAGTATTCTGGCCTGGAGAACTCCATGGACTGTATAGTCCCTGGGGTCACAAAGAGTTGGACACAACTGACGACTTTCACTTTCACTTTCAACTTGAGGTCAGTCTGGGACTGTGGGCAAGTCAGGAGGTCTGAGCACAGACCTGGGCTTGAGCTCCCATCCATCAGTCTATCACCAGGACACTGAATGTAGGAGGCTCCCAATGAATGCTAGCTATTCTTATTAGTTCTATTATAATTAGAGGAGGGCATGGCAATCCACTCCAGTATTCTTGCCTGGAGAATCCTAGGGACTGAGGGGCCTGGCGGGCTCCAGTTTAGAGGATCTCAAAGAATCAGACCCGACGGAAGCGACTGAGCACATAAAAACTCTGAGAGATGGTGAGGGACAGGGAAGCCTGGCGTGCTGTAGTTCACGGGGTCACAAAGAGGCAGACACGACTTGGTGACTGAACAGCAAAGTGGAGGGAGCTGCCTCTTGTCCAGGGTCATGAGCCTTCCTGACACTTGTCCTGCCGGGTGGTGACTCTCACGTTTGTTTCCCCAGGGGCTTTTTGGCCGGAACCTCCTGGACGGCACTCAAGCAGGGGCTCAGATGGATCAACCGGCTTTGCAGCGGGCACCCAACACCCAGAGCCGGAGGCACTGCTGGGGGGCTCCTCCTGGGCCCCAGGATGCGCCCCCCAAGCCAGCTACCTCCCCACTGGCCATGCACCCACAGCAGGGCCGGTGTGAAGGGACCCCATTGTGAGAGGGACGCCGGCAGGGCCCCTGGACTGGAAGCAGGCAGACGGCACAGGGCAGCAGGTGGCCGCCCACCCGCCACACCCAGGGCCAGGCACACACGCAGCCTGGCAGGAGACCCACAGCACCAGCTGCTGGGGAGACCAAGCTGGGAGATGCCGGGGCCCACCCACCGGAACACCCGAAGTTAAAGCCCTCCTCGCCGATTCCTCTCATGGGCTGCCCATGCGTGTAATGGGTGCAGGCACTTGGGGAAAGAATTGGCGGTTTCTTGTTCAATTAAACACAGAGTTACCACGTGACCTAGCAATTCCACTCCCAAGTACCAGCCCTGGAGAAACGTATATAAAACCGCACAAAAGACCGTAGGACCACGTTCCGCACAGCAGAAACCTGGGAAAAAGACAGAAGCCTGCAGGAGGGCCCGCAGACCACAGGCTGTGTCCGACGCCCCTGAAGAAGGGACGGTTAGCGAGGCCCCAAGGGCATCTCCCGTTGCGCCTACATCCCCCCACCTTCCACACTCACCCGGCAATGGCTGTGAAATGTGGGCGATCCCATCAGAGGCGGGGAAGAGCCTGGACCTGGAGCTCAGAGCTTCCTCGGGGGAGCCCCGGTGCCCCGGCTCTCCTTGCCCCAGGTCCCACTCGGGAGACTGTGGGCCTCGCCCAGGGACCTCCGGCTATGTCCAGAGCCCAGGGAGCACCCAAGCCTTCAGGGAAGACACTCCTTGGAAAATGAACTCAAGTTTGCTGGAGGGAAGGGACAGTCAGGGACTCTGCGAAGGTCATGTACCTGCTGCTGTGTTTAAGATGGATAACCAGCAAAAACGTACCGCATAGCACAGGGAGCTCCGCTCAGCCTACGCGGCAGCCCGGATGGGAGGGGAGTTTGGCGGAGAGTGGATACATGTGTATGTCGGGCCAAGTCCCTTCACAGTTCACCTGAAACTGCCACAACACTGATCACCGGCTATTCCCCACTACAACATGTTTTTGGTGTTAGAAAAGAGAGAAAGAAGCACTCCCCACTTGCTCAGGCCCCTGGAGCTCCTTCTCTGGGCCCTGTCTTTGGGCATCCGCGTTCATCCTCACTCTGCCTGAAAGGGCGTGAAGGAGCCTGAGTTTGCTCTTCTCAGGTCCAACTGCACATCCGGAAGGGCAAAGGGAAGAAGCTCTGTCTCTGCAACAGGCAGAGCCCCGAGTGAGACCCAGCCGCCCCACCCCGAGGGCTGCGCGGATCCGGAGGGACGGGGAGGGGCCGCCGGAGGAGCACAGAGCCGGGGCTCATCTGTACCGTCCTCGGTGTGGACGGGTCCCCGAGCTCGGCCCCTGGCAGGGGGCAGGTCCAGGCCTGCCTAGGGGTGGAGGCTTTGGGACTCTGTCTCTGCCCTTCTCTCCTCGGTATCTTAGATATCACTTCCCCCGGGGGGACCAGGTCACAGCAGCCATGGGGAGCTCCATGCACCCTCACCCCATGTGAGAGCAGAGATCAGGCGACAGTTCTTCCTCGAGTGAAATGGGGATGCGAACCTGGGCTCACAAAAAGAACCATCTGGAGCGTAACGGTCCTCCGTCTAAGTTTGCCAAGAGGAAGGGGGGATGAGGAATGAGACGGACAAGGCACACAGACTTGAGCAGACTGTTCACAGGCCGGAGGAAAAATTCTGGCCCCCTGGCCTCTGCAGAGGGGCCACCAGCCCCCAGGGGCTCAGGGCAGGTCTCCAGAGAAGCCAGCTTGAGTCAGCAGGCTCAGCATAAGAAGAGCTGACCCACCCCACGGAGGGGCAGAGCCTGCAGACAGTCTCATTGCTGGCGATCATCTGAGTGTCAGTCCCGTCCTGTCCCTTCCCCTCCCTGTCAGACCTGGTTCTTCTCAAATCTTGACAAGCCTCCAGGTCATTCCCGCCTGCAGAGAAGAGCTGTTCTCAGTCTTGGGCGTTTAATTACCTTCTCTC